TTAACATGAACAAACTGTGAACGCCTGGAACTAAAGTGGACACCGGGGATGGTGGTGTAACAGTGGGTTTTGTGTTTCAGATGGAGGAGAACCATTTGACACTGTGCAGACAGGTACAGACTGTAACACCTGAGTGGTTTACCTGCCAGCTTAGAACTACTGTAGAACAGTTCTTCCTTGTTGTAGTAGAAAGGACAATGTTGTTATAGTTTGTCTTGTACATGTTTGATATCAAACAGGGATGTGTTAAAGAAATTAAAAACTCACTAAGTTAATTCTCACTCAGAGAGACAACAATGTAAAAATGTCAGTAACTCCAGAATCCAACCTGCAGTAAGTGCAGTTGCTGCGCTCTCCCTCGCTGTCTCAGGGCTTCGGCTGCAGTTACTGCGCTTTAGTGTCTGTAAATCCTGAATTCTAGACTTCAGGACAATGTGGGAATTAAAAAAAGGGAATCTGAAGGCCTGCCTTTTGCAAACAGTTTCCGACAACGACTTCCCACATGGTTCTGTGTAACAAACCAAATTTCAGATGTTTTTGGACGATCCAAAAGAATTAGTTTGAAGCAGACTGAGACCTTCAGGTCCAGTCCAGTTCTTCCAGTTCACCTGGACACAGACTTCCAGCTAACTGCTCTTGAACAGTTGCAAGAGGTCGTTCTGGAAGGTGACAGGAAGTGTTCAGAAATTCAGAGACAGGGCCTGAAACACGTCCTTCTGGTCCTTTAGGTTAGGATTAGGGTTAGGGTTAGTCTCATCTGAGACTTTATTCTTGTTATTTCTCTGAATTTCTGACAACAAACTGTTTAATCAGTAACAGTAGAAGTAAAAACTTGTCATGTGACCATTCATCATCTCATTGTCTGTTTTCATTCATCTGATCATCTTTTGTTTTTCATGTCATTTCTATCAGTTCTTACCACGCCCACAACAGGAGTGCCAACTATAGCCCCTCCAACTCTGCACCACCAGGCCCCTCCCACTGCACACAAACAAGCCCCTCCCCCTGTCAATAATCATCCGCCTCCTGTCATACGCATTCAAGCCCCACCTCCTACACCAGCATCTGCAACAGCACCTGCCCAAGCCCCACCCCCAGCACCTGTCCAACCCCCGCCCCCAGCTCCAGCACCTGTCCAAGCCCCACCCCCAGCTACAGCACCTGTCCAAGCCCTATCCATAGCCCCTGTACCTGACCCAACAGCTTCCCAAATCCTGCCTGCTGCTCCAACTCCTGCTCATGCTCCGCCCCCTGTCCAGGCAACAGCTCCAGTCCTGCCCCCAGCCCCTGTAGTCCAATCCCAGCCACCTCCTGAACCCATCCTTCCTCCTGCACCTGCATCGACTCCTGCCCCAACACCTATCCCTGGCCCCTCCCCTGCCCCGCCTCCACAGACTCCAGGTGTGTACATCAGAGATTTGATGTGTCTAAACCAGTCTAGACAAGTAGAACCAGTAGAACCAGTAGAAGAAGTAGGTGGTAAATACTGTCTCTTCTCCAGTATGACTTCAGTCATTCATTCATCCCTGTGTTGATCTTTGTTACATACGCTGATGTCATCACATCCCACCTGCCCGTGTCAGAGCCAGACCGACGCTCAGCAACACCTGGAGGGACCAGAAAAGGCAAGTGAGAGTCTCAAGTGGATCTGATGATGTTTAGCTGATCCTTGTTAAAGTGATCAGGTGTTGTCCAGGTTGATGGTTCAGGTGTTGATGGATCAGGTGTAGTTGGATCAGGTGTAGATGGTTCAGGTGTTGATGGATCAGGTGTAGATGGTTCAGGTGTTGATGGATCAGGTGTAGGTGGATCAGGTGTAGGTGGATCAGGTGTAGATGGTTCATGTGTAGATGAGTACTAGGATTTAACAGGTTTGATACCCAAAGGATCCTCACTGTAGTCTGACCAAACCTGTCTCTCTGCTGTGATGCAGAGGTCACATGGGAGGACCAGCAGAAGAAAACAGCCAATGGTACGGTACCACCTGTTAGCCCAACCACCCACCCCCCATGTCTCTGCCACTTTAGTGACCCGTCCATCCTACTGTTAATAATTGAAGTAGATTAGTTTGTTCGCTTATTAGCTAGCATTCTGCTAACATTAGCTAACTAGCTATTGTATGTAGCTATTGTTGTAGGCTAAGGAAGGGTACATTTACATAGTTAGTAGCACTGTAAAGATTCACAGATACAAGTCAGAAATCTGTTTTAACCTTATAGCTGCAACTACATCGGTACACCGACCCCTGGATGGATCTAAATGTACCATGAACTGGTCAATGGTCCAATTCTAAAGTTTTGAATCTGTTGGAGCTTTGCTGCTAACAGTGTCTCCACTTTCCTGAAAGATCAAAGGTCAACACCAGGGTCTCGCTACAAGAGCGATTAGAGGAACGTTGCACGACAATGCTGACATGATTTATAGAACACCATCAAATCTAAAATCTAAAGTTTTGAAAGTTGGACAAAAGTCTGTCCATCTGTAAGATCTGTCGGACAGTAATTACCTCGTGCGGTAGCACGACAGATCGAAACTCTCACCTGGTGAGACGGCATTTGTCTTCCATTTTGTCCCATAAAGACAATAATAGATTCCTGGTATTTTATAAAATATATGTATTTGAAGGTAAACAATGTCACTTTTGTAGAATTGTCTTATTTTCATTTTGAATGGAAAATGCATGTTTACATTAAACAAATGTTAAGAATTGAATTGATCAGATTGAATCATATCCAATTTTTCCGTATTAAAATGCATCTTTACTCGATTGTATTGTACGCCATCTGGATACAGATCGGATCGTATTAGAAGGAAAAGGAGCATGCCCCTAATAGTTAGCTTTCCTAACTTCCTTTTCAGTGAGAATTGTCTTTATTGACTCAAATTAAATGTTGTATGTCAATACTCAATTCAAATGATCAATAATGTCTAATCGACCGGTATATTGATCATCTTGAAATGGTTTGTGTGATTAGATTGTCGGGTTGATCTTTTGTTTTCCATTTGTCATCCATCATCCATCCACTGTGATTTGAAGGAGAGCTATTACCAGCGAGCAGAGAAGGTAGACATTGTTTCTCCCTGTTTTCATCTCATCAGCAGATATTAGTTGTTTGTTTCACAGTAAATAAACTGTAAACATTTCGACCTTGCTGTTACTGGTGGTGCCAGGCATGACCCTATGGTGATATCCCTTATCGGTCTGTGGAGCTTTGGAGCCTCCAGTTGGGCTTCATGGTCGTCTCTGTGTTTAGCAGCCAGCTGAGGTCATGTACAGCGAGTTGAGCTGCTCTCATTGGCTGCTGTTGGTTTGGAAACAATGGCGGTTCGGAGCTCACACAGGATCTGGTATTCTAGATTAAAATGCAGTAAAATGTGTAAAATGTGTTTGTGAACAGATTTGAGGAGAGAAATAGTCAACAACAGAATCTGGATCAATATCTGATCAGCACTGTTTGACAGTTTGATCTGAGTTTGTGCATTGAGGATGGACGGACGGAGAATGAGTGTCAATCCAAGGTACCCCCCTTAAGCATAAGTAGATAAAATAGGACCATAAACGCAGGTATGGTCTATTTTACTCTACTTATACGGGTGGCACTGACCTTAACCCTAAATAGTGATGAATATTATATTGCATTAATGTTACACACTGGACCTTTAATAAACAAAAATTTTAACTAGAATATTAGTATTTCCTGAAGACAATACACGCTGCTGCCACAGCTACCACTGCTCACAGGCTCAGCTAACCCTAACAATAACCTTAATTGAATACTGTGTTCAAAAGGGATAATGGTAAAGATAATAAGTTAGATAATAAGTTACTGTCAAATTATTGGACTTCACTGAAACTAAATGTAGTAATAATATCATTATGGTTACTATTATATTAATTGATAGACAGTACAGACCTCTGACCTGTATCTACAGCACTGACCTCTGTTTAGCTGCAACAAAACATCACACATCATTCTGCTGGTGTCAGGTATTTTTATAATATTTTTATGATGTTTGATCAAACATTTTCCAAAAAAGAAAATATTGTGATTGCAGTACTAATTAGAGTAAGACATTTGTGATCACTCATCATGTGACCAATCTGAATGCAGCTAGAAACATGTGATATCTCGTATCCAAAGAAAGATGGTGGGGATTTAGCATTTTTTGAAGAATATAGAGCAGAATTACATCACGGCCCAATTGTTAAGAGTTCATTCGTGCTTCCCACATTCAACAGCCACAATCATCCATCAATCTGATTAAATCCCAACCTTCCAAAAACCCTGCACTGTGTGAACCCTACTCCAGGAAGTGTAGTAGTAGGTGTGTCAGAGCTGCCAGCGGAGTTGGTCATTTGGGGAGAGATGCCTGCTTCATCCGCTTTACCTTCGGCATCCATTTTATTGTAAAGTCCAAGTGTTGTTGCAGAGTCAGGAGGCTAAATAATCTCCCTGTCGGAGTGTCTTCGTTACAGACTTCTGAATAGACGTTGCAGTGGGGCAAACTTTGTCATTATTCAGTGGATGTGCTGAAAACATTTCAGCTCTGTAGGACGGGTGATGTATTCAGATTTTTTAAAGTTTTACAATTCAAAACATGTAATAAACAACCATGTGGTGGTGCTCTTACATATACATGCTTTAATATATAATCTCCATGGGGTACCTGTGTACCAGGTTTGATAACTTTAGCATGTTAAGTATTTTACATTTTGATGAGTATATGTGACTCCCATTGACGGGCCATTAAAAACAATGACAGTAAAATATTAATATCCCAATAACTGTAACTGGCTTCATTATATCAGATAACAATGAGATCAGCTGTCAGCTGTGATGTCACTTCTGTGTTACTGTGAGCTATGACATCAGAACGTGGTAATAACCCTCCTCTTCTGTCTGCAGGTGTGATGAAGGACCCATCGAAGGTAAACATCATCATCATCATCATATGACACATTACATCACTGATGATGTCACACTGCTCACCCATCCTCTGTCTGTCTCCAGATGAGAGACAGTCTGTCCTTTAAATCCTCAGACAGTGATGTCAGCGACGTGTCGGCCATGTCCAGTGACATCAGAGCTGTCCGCAGGATCAGGTGAGACCAGCAGCCAATCACAGGCCGAGGATTTACACTGTAGTCCATCAGAGACGGTGTGACCTTCAGTATCAGATAGCATGATATTAGAATGTTTACATTAGCATGTTGTTTGTTAGCATGATCCAGTTTATGTTTGCATGTGTTAGCATGTGTCACTCTCCATCTCTATGCATGCTGTTCTCTCATTGGCTCATCAGTCGGGGGGAGGCTGTGCAGGGCCAATCAATGGAGTTGGGCTCGGGGTTGGAGGGAACACAGGAAGTGGTGGCGGAGGGCGGAGCCTCGCTGCATAAGAGTGAATCAGTGGAGGAAGCAGAGGAGGAGCCTGAGCCTTCAAAGTAAGCCATTGACCAACGAGGCGCTCCAGACTATTCATCATATCAACAGTAGTGACACCGCCCACTTCCTCCTGCCCCTTTATGCCCCCCCTCCCTCTCAGGAGACTGACAGGTCTCTCCCCCCACAGGGCGGCGCCGGCGGCGTCCGGAGCTCCTCTCACCAAGTCGTCGAGCGTCGGAGGAGAAATCTGTTCTCTGGGGAGAAATGATGATGACGACGACGACAAAAAGCGACGCTCGAGCTTCGGCGCCAAGATGATGGGAATGGTTGGACTTGGGAAGAAGAGTCAGAGCGCCTCACAGCTTAACCCCGAGGGTCAGAACCAGAACCTGTGATACAGAGATCTCAGCTCTGATTGGTTGATTCAGCTCGTATTCACTCTGTCTGTCTGTCTGTCTGTCTGTCTGTGTGTCTGTGTCTGTCTGTCTGTGTCTGTCTGTCTGTCTCTCTCTCTGTCTGTCTGTCTGTCTGTCTGTGTAGAGGAGGAGAAGAAGAAGAAGGTGGTGAGACTTCCTGTCCAGAGGAGTGTCGAAACCGGTTTGGCCATCGAGTTTAAATCTCGTTTCACCCGACAGCAGAGTCGCGACCCGGACGCCGAGGAACCCAAACCGGGAGCGTACGGATGAGTTTTTGTTCTGTTAAATATTATTATTATTATTATTATTATTATTATTATTATCATTATTCAATATTTAAGGATATTTTCTCTCTGTGATTAGTTACATTTCTTTTATTTGTCTGTGTGGATTAAGTTTGATATTCCCGGGAGTAAAGTTGGCGTCGGACAAACAGTTCACTGGATTCCTGGAGGGATTAGGCCCCGCCCAGCTGGCTGGACGACAGACTCTGGCCACTCCCCCTATGGGTAATGACCAATCAGAACTTTATTTATACTTGAAAAACTATCTGACTGTAATCTATGACATCATATCGACCAGTTAGTTACTAACCATAACGTTACTGCAAAGTCATTAGCTAATGTTAGCTAATGTTAGCCAGCTAATGTTAGCCAGCTAATGTTAGCTAATGTTAACCTTTACATAGACAAACAAGGTCAATAATACAAGCTCCTCTGATTGGCTGTTTGGTGGTCAGGTGACATCCAGATCGGGATGGTGTACAGGAAGGAGCGTCTGGACGTAGAGGTGATCCGAGCCAGAGGGCTTGTGGGTAAACAAGGCAACAAGAACACACCAGGTACAAATACACACACTGATACACACACTGATACACACACTGATACACACACTGATACACACACACTGATACACACACACTGATACACACTGATACAGCAGTATTTATGCAGTATTGATGATGCAGTATTGATGATGCAGTATTGATACAGCAGTATTGATACAGCAGTATTGATGAAGCAGTATTGATGATGCAGTATTAAAACAGCAGTATTGATGATGCAGTAT